CCTTTGCCCCCCCCCCCCGACCCAAGACCCCTGTTACGCGCCTGCTTATAAGTTGGGCCCCCCCACTTTGAAAAACGTTCCGCCGGCCCTGTTACTTACCGTCAGTCATGAGTATCAACACTCGCTTTGGAGGCTGTACTCCAGGTATATTGTCGACTCTTTCCCATTTGGCATCCGCTAAGGCAATCATGTTAAAGATTTCCTCCAATGCAGCTGCCGTTGATGTCCCACCAACCTCTAATAATAATGATAATAATAATAACGATTACAGCGTTACATTATTCTTATTAATAATAATTATTATTATTATTGTATTATAATAATCAATTTATCATGTTCGTCATCATAATATCCACCATATTCATTGTCATCATCAGCAGCGCATTATCAGCATCATCGTCATCACTATATTATTATCATCAACATGACCATTATCATCATCATATAGTCATCATCATCATTTTATAATCATTATTATCATACATAATCATCATTATTAAAATCCTTTCCCTTTGTCATTTCACTATAAACACCTTCCCTTTCAGTCACTGCTTTTCATCTTTTAATTTATTTATAATCAAAAATAAAACACCAATCATTTAATTACCTGTCGGATATTTGAATGCGTCTAATTCATCGAAGACCCCTTCTTTTGTATCATGAATTGTCACATCAAATTTGTCACATAGGACGTCAGTATATGACAGTGCACCGTACCGTGGTCCTTTTGGTCTTCCTGAAACACCTGTCTATACGGATATTTATTATTCGTTTAGTTCAATTTTACATTCTTATCTTTTTGTTTCTTTAAGTTCTATCGTTTTAGATAGAGGGATGTATTTCATCATAAACATAAAACAACACAATAATCTTCCGTGTTACTTATGCTCCATCGTAAAACCCGGCACCGCATGGTGAAATTACATGTAGGCCTACCCTCATTTTCGTTCAAACTTATTCTAGCGGGGATTTCAGTAGGGAGATTGCGCAACCTTACGAAAAGGATAACGAATACTTCATTATCCTTATCATTCGTGTCTAAAACATTCTTGACAATATGTTGTACGAGAGCTGAATATGATCCTTGATTCATGCAAAAGGCATGAATCGCCTATCGTTGTAACAGATATTGTAGGGGAAGGGTTGTCTAACAATTTGATGACGTACCGTATTCGTTAGAATTTTCGTAAGCTTGCGAAAACTATCGGTCGAAAATATTTAGTTTTCGGTAATTTAAAGAAATTTTTCTACTACATGAGTAATTAAATTGATTACCAGTTAATAAAAAAGATCTATCCAAAGAATATAATATCCATATTTTCTTATGAATATGATAATGCACCAATGTTATATATTGAATTTTATTGTTGAAATTCATTAGCATCATAAGCCACCAATTTAGCCATAAACAGGGACACCAGATACAATTTACGGGGTTATTTTCAGAGACCTGCTATGTGACTCGTCATCCTGCCTGTGGCCATGTCACTATTATAAGTCATGATCAAATTGCTGATGACTTTCGTTGGGAAAACAGCCGCGAAAGCTACAACTAATTAAAACTGACATTGAAAGGAAAAAATAGACTAATCACAGGCTTAAAATATTAATAAAAATAGGCCTATGATGAGAATGCTAATGATAGTGATATTGATAATGAGAGGATGATGATGATGATGATGATGATGATGATGATGATGACGTCAATTAGAACACAGAACACTCATCTAAAAGCAAATGGGGTTTTTTTTTTCTTGGAATTGAAAGTACGGTATCTGATATTAAATAAATGGTTTTCTGTGTACATACTTTTTCAACTAGAGTTTTTGCAAATTTAACGGCGCGAAGGAAGTTGCTTCGTCCTACGCTTGCGGACCCGTCGATTGCCATATACATTTCCAATCGTCCGCCATAATTTAAATCGATAGTGCGCCCTCTAGAGTCACCATTGCTTTCTGGGGCTTCAGTATCTTCCACAAATTTGTCGAGTACTTTTCCAAAAGTGTTTGCAACTCTTGCGGGGTCGTCATAATCCCCCTGGCCTGTGTTATAAACAACATATCGTAAATTATATGGTAAAGTGGAATATTCAAATGAATTGCCTTATGCGCTCTTTAGTTTAACACATACAAATGGTCTCTGTGGCGGATCCAGGAATTCAAAATAGAGGGGGGCCCTGGAGGTACTTCCACAGATGGAAGATCTAACCACCTCAGCCCCACTATGGTTGGAGTTGAGGTAAGAAAATTTGTGATTATGGCACCTCTAGATGGCTGGAAATTGCACTCTCAGACTTAAAGTTTAAATATAATTGTCTTTATATCTCCATTTTTAAAGTCAGGCTCCGGGGGGGGGGGGGAATTTGATATGTTGTAGATCAGATTTTTCTAAGACAGAAAAAAGTTGTTTGACGAAGAACTGGGGAACGGATAATGAGATACAGATTTTTGAATATTTAAAAACTGGGGGGGGGGGGGAGAATGGTGGGAAAAGGGTAATTACGCCCCTTTTTCCCCCTCCGGAGTCTGACTTTAAATGTGAACAAGTGGGGGGGGGGGCGGCTGGGCCCCTTGAATCCACCACAGGTCTTGCGTGTGATCAGTAAAAAAAACACATTGTTTTTGAATATTATAATCCACATAGGCCTACCTCTACAGGTAGGTTGTGTCCCACTCCACTTCCCTGTCGTCAAACAAGTTCGATTTCTCGAGCCAATAAGTGAGAATCCGCTATCACAATAATAAAGCACAGTGTCTCCACGATTATAGCTCTGGCCTTGTTTTCGCCCATTCATAGGAATACCTGGATTTTTACAATCCCCATCTGAAACGTAACAAGAAAAAATGCATTTATAGACTTCGGTTAGGCAGCGCCTGTGGAATTTTTCTGTGCGTGTTCTGTACTCTTGGGCTTATCATAAACAATCTTTTTGATATCCTCATCGCATCTATATACAATTTATAACGTGGGTCTAATAGTCATCGGAAACAAATTTACCGCCACGTTCACAGATTGTATTGTAACCACTCCATTTGCCGTTCTCCTGACACTTGCGTGACTCTGAGCCAATCAGGGTGTACCCACTCATACACCGAAATCTGACCTCCGCTCCGATGAAGTACGGCGGTTTGCCAATGCGATTCGAATTCTCCGGGTATCCAATATCGTGACATTTTACCTCTAAGAACCAAAACAAAATTAAAAAGGATTATTATTATATTGTCATAAATTGAATAATCGAATAGTTTCATCTGGTTTGTCTATTATGACTGTAGAACTCGATAATAAACCAAGCACAAAAGATGTAAACTTACTGTGATTAGCTCACATAGTCTGACAAAGTCATACATCAACGAAACCTCGATGATGTCAAGTATTAACAATTCAATGTTAGGGAGCTTCGATTGCACGACGGCGGTAGGACTGTTGAACGTACTTATGTCACATAAAGTCATCTGCGTATACGAGCAATTTCGCCGAATTTAGGGGGTGGGGGTTCATACTTTTTTTTCATAAAACCCTAAAAAGAAAGGGGGTGGGGTCATCCTCTGGGAAAATTTTGATTCTCAGATGGCGGGAAATGAGCTTTCCAGACTTCTGAGGTGTCTTTTAATGACTTTTAAGTTCTTCAAAATTCAAGGTTTTCCTCTCTTGAAAACGGTCAGGTAAACTTTTTCATTCTTATTATAGTAAATAGGTCTGTTATATGTGTGTATACACATATACATGGAAAAAAAAATAGTAAGTTGCATACGTACGTATTCTTTTTTTCCATGAATCGATAAATTAATAAAGGGGCTCCGGGGGTTTTCCCCATGGGAAATAATTCAAAATTCATGGTTTTCCCTTCTTGAAAACGATTCCATGGATCTTTGAACCCCAAAGAGAAAGGGGATCCGCGGGTCCTCCCCGGGAAAAATTTGATCGCTAGATGGCAGGAAATGAGCTTTCCCGACTTCTGAGGTGTCTTTTAATGACTTTTAAGTTCTTCAAATTTTAAGGTTTTCCCCCTTTTATCTTGAAAACGGTCAGGTAAACTATCTCATTCTTATTACAGTAAATACTAGTAGCCCTATTATGTGTTTATATACAGTACATGACCAAGATTGAGTCGCTACACACATATTCTTTTTTCAATGAATCGATGAACCCCATAAAACGGGGGTCGGAGGCCCTCCCCGGGAAAATTTTGATTATTTGATGGCAAGAAATGAGCTTCCCGACTTTTTTATATTCAAGGTTTTCCCCTTAGGTAAATTTTTCTCATTCTTATTACAATAAATAGGCCTATGTGTGTACCGGTATACAGAGATTTTTTAATTTTTTAATTTTAATTTTTTTTAATTTTATTTTTTTTCCCAAGGTGGACACACTGACCCCACCCCCCCCCCCTTCCCAGATCCGCCCCAAGGAAGAGCTGCTATTGTCCATAACGATACCATAATATTAAAGAGGTAAGGTGCAATTTACAGTTCAGTCAAACAAATTTAAGGTGTAATAATCGTTAATAATTTAAGTGCAAGCTAATTAACACGTGGGCGTATGGTTACGCATGCGTAGTATGCGTAAGTCGTAAGCAGATAGCTTTTGTTCGCTGCACACGCTATGAATTTGCCAAAAAAATCAAACACGATAGATATTTGGCGTAAGCGCCACGCCGAATGACAAAAAAACCTTCGAAATTGCACCGCACACGAGAGCTATGTGCGTACGCCAAATGCCACGAATGACACTTGGCGTAAGCAGATAGCTCTCGTGTGCGGCAGGCTTAATTTATGCATGAGTGAATCCGTTCTTGCGTCACATCGTCGCACAAATCAAGAGCTCCCTATTAATTATACCTCCCTTTCTGTATTTTAACACACTTTAACACCAAGTCTGTAATCTTAAACTCTTATTTTAATCTTACCAAGTGTTATCATCTATCCAACAGTTTTAGTTATTTTATGTAATGGACATGTTTAATTGTCGAATATTATTGAATAAATTCATTGGATCCAAGCGATAAGTGTGTACTAAAGGTTATTCTAGATGATCCAAAGTCAAGTGTAAAATTAAGATGTTACTCACTATTAAATTGTCTTTTTACTAATTGTAATATCGGTTTTAAAATGTGATGTGAATTTTAAGTGTCTTTTCGATAGTACTGTGTTTTATGTGAATTCTAGGTGTTTCATATTGTCCAAGAGAAAACAAATTTCCAGTGTAATGTTGGACAATAAAGGTTATCTTACCTTATCTTATCTATTGTGTTGGTTTATAATCGATCAAACAGCTCTATAGTGTTATGATAATGATATAAACTTTTACTACGTTTCTTACTTTCACAAGTTGGTGGCGGGTTGCTCCATTCGCCAATTAGCGAGTCACGTGATAGACATGACTGCCACGATGAGCCCTTGATTCTGTAACCTGGGAAACATGAATATTCAACAATGCTTCCAGTTGAATATTTTTTACCGAGTGTAACTGTCGAGTTACCATTGGCGATGGTTCCATTAGGAGCATCACACTTTGCCACTGTAAGGAATAAACGCACATTTTTAAAATCACCAAAAATTCAACATTTTACGGCTGAAGAAGTTTGCTGAATCCAAGTGGCAATAGGGGCGCTAGAGTTTCTCTGACGAGAAGTCCAAGACCTCTGAATGGGTGATGTGTCCACATCCAAGTTGACGCGACCATTGTGGCTGAGTTGAGCACTTCAGGAATAATAGACTAGAAAAAAAATCTGAAGAAAATGAGTTAGGGGGAGTGGAATGTTAGAAGCAATCCACATAGCCAGATATCCTAATTATTCCTTCCGGTCACCCTAAGCCCTGTTGACACTTGATTTTACTCCTTGTATACAAATGGCGGCCATTTTGAAAAATGGCCGCCAAATTTATCTAAAATGTGCATAAAATTGAAATTAAATAAGCTACAGATATGATTTTGGTGTCTAAACTCATAATTTCTAGACAGGCAACAAACTAGACATATAAAAACTACTGTCACTCAAGCCAGAATGGAACATAATTAAAAATAGGTGTTTATTTGTTTAAAAATAATCGCAAAATATACTTACTTAAAATGTACATAAAATAAGAAGGAGTATTTAAGCTAGTTTTCTATGTAATCCAGATAGATTTTTGAGCAAAAATAGATTTTATTGACTAATTTTATCATTTTTACTGCGCTGAATTAAAAAAAGTTAGGTGCCATTTTTTTTACCAAAGTCATCGGCCGCCATTTTGAATTTCAAGATGGCTGACGCAACACATAAAACATGGTCATGATTGGTGTCAATGGAAAGCAGTGGCGGATCCAGGGTGGGGGCGGGGGTGGTTCAAGGGGTTCGGACGAACCCCCCTCTGTGAAGAAACGTAACAAAATACTATTGGGTCCTTGCTTACAACACGCATTACCAACCGTTTCTCGCGCATCGTGCGGGACGGTCCCGCTTCAAAGTGATTTTGGATGTAACACGTATTTGGAAGCGGTTTGGCGCAGCGTGAAAGGTTTGGTTTCCCAACCTCGAGGTCGGTGTTTCAATCACTCGCTGTGCATTTCGCTTGTGTCCTTGAGCAAGGCACTTTATCTGCATTGCTTCTCTCCACCCAGGAGTATAAATGGGTACCTGGTGGGGTTGCTTGCTCCTGCGCTGAATACAGCAGCAACACTTAGCATGTGAATCCAATGACCAGGGACAGAACCGCTTCGTATCTGCAAAGAAAGGCGCTATATAAATAAATATGATTAGATTAGATTAGATTTGGCAGAAACACAAGCGTGATCTTAAATTTGTCACGCATTTAGTCCACGCATGACGACGAATAATCACGAATTCATTGAAAATATATTTAAAATTAGAAGAAATTGGTTTTATAAAAATTATAAAACAATCATGCAGTAACTTAGAGAGCTTCGTTATCGCGTTTGAGATTCAATTCACCAAAAGCTTTGGCGGCGCGTGTGGTCTTGCGCGTTCATTGTCACAATGTTGATTATCCATGAAGCTATCCAAAAATAAAAACAAATTAAATTAAATAATTTTGATTAATTTCTCATTATAAATAAAGACAACGAAATTCCTAATA